TGTGGGAAACGGTGTCAGTGGCCTTGCTGAAGTCAAGGTAGAGAACATCCACAGCCTTTCCCTCATCCAATAAGCAGGTTGCCCTGTCGTAGGAGGAGATCAGGTTTGTCAAGCAGGACCTGCCTTTCATAAACCCATGCTGACTGGGCCTCAGCATCTGGTTGTCCCGCACGTGTTGTATGATGGTACTCAGGATGAGCTGCTCCATCAGCTTCCCAGGCACCAAAAAGTCAAGCTGACAGGCCTGTAATTTCCAGATCATCCTTCTTATATATGGGTGTCCCATTATGGACAATGTTGCCTCTTCTGTGGGTGGATGCTAAACTCATTGAAACAGGAAAAATATATCAGAATGCTTTAAAACACAGGGTACTGCAGGTGTCTGAGCTCTGCAATAGCAGTGTCAGACTAACACACAAGACTGCACATGAGCTACACTGAGCCTGGCCTTTTAGCCAGGAACCGATGTCCCTCATCCCTGGAGATGGACCTGGGAAACTGTCCTGGCTCTGAACCCAGAGATCAGCAGTAGTGATCTCAGTCCCTTCAAACATCTTTATTTTCACACGGTCCTTCCTTTTAATACATGGAAAACTTTGAACTTTGTCATTCAAACAAAAAGACAAGCTTTATTAACAAATCAGCCTTTGCATGTGCTACGACTGCATATTTAGTTATTAGTACATGGAAATCAATTTAGTTACATTATACTAGGACTGACTAAAAAAAAGGAATCTAAACCCAAATCAAGATGAAATTGTGTATTTTATAATTTTTATATTTGTTAAAATATTTTGATTACTCTAAGGAACCCAAACTAAATTGAGTTACTGCTTGAAAATTTTTATATCACTGAGATATGAAAATAATACATATACTGAGAAATGGCAATTTGACATATCTATTCCCATATCTATTTGCCTGATATGAGTTACATAAGGACATCTCTTCCATACTCCTGGCTTCCTGATGGAGCACCCCACTTCTCTGTGGGATTACTGGTACCATAAGGATTTTAAAGGATTGCCTTGTGCATAGGAATGGAATACCTTGGTGCTATGCATTGTCTGAAATAATCTTTAACCTTAGGCACACTAAGGCCCTCTTCACTAGCAATCAGCTGCACAAGTCTTGAGGATACAACCATGAGGTTCGAGTCTAATTCTGTCTTATCTCCCCCAACCGGCACTTCTGCACCCTGTCCTGCTAACAAGCTGAAAAGACACTGGTACATCTTTCTGTAAACTGTTTCATGCAGATTTTCAGGAAAACCTTCATCTTTGTAACTTTCTATGCACCTGTAAAGAGATTCCAACTTTCATACGTATCCCATGTCCGAGCTGCCCGGACAGTTCTGGGTTTTCTACTTTCTTTCACCAAGATTTCATTGAATTCAGAGCTTCATCATAAAGGATTATTGGCCTCAAGCTTAAAAAGACTAATCAGTAGGCAGAGCCATATCTTGTAAACAGCAAAAAGTGCTTACTAACAATCATCCCAGTTTTTAACTGAATCCCAAACATATTTTAAGGTCAATGCTCTATCCATCTGGTAGTGTTGGATTCAATCTTCAGTGTGTTTTCTATTTTGAAACTTATAAACTTGTATTTTACATACACATGTAAACAGAAAAAATTTGAGAACAGCATCATTGGGCTCTGGCTTGTGAAAACGTGACAGCCAGACTGGAGCAACAAAGGGTGCAGAAGGTATGACTAGTCAGACACCTCTGAGGAGTACCTTGAGGATGTGGAAAACCCCCAAAAGAAAGGTAGTCTGCACGTTTTATACATAGTAGCAAAAAAGAAAATCTTTGCTCAAACAGTTATGCGGCCTTGTATCCCATGAGTGCAAGGGTTTATTGGTCTAATTAATTGAGACAATCCTCTTTTATAAAAAAAAGTTGCAAGTGAAATATTTTTAAGAATTTGTGGCTTACTTGGTTGCTTTACTTCTCCAACAAGCTATTAATGAAAGAATTATACATTGTATCTATATGGAACAGATGCTTTCCATACACGTTTGCTTGCTCTAGATAAAATTCAAGCTGCAGTCATAAGTGATTTTTTTTAAAAGGATTTAAAAGGTCAGTAACATTTTCATGCAACTCTTTTCTTCTTTAATAAAGCCTCAGTAAAACCATATAGCTAAAAATGCTTTATTTCATCATTAGCCATATAACTAATAAACATAAAATTGTGGCTGTAATATTTTTGTTCAAAACAGTTCCAAAACCCAATAAAACTATCCTGGAAACATTAGCCAAATACTTTATTCCTATAAAAGTAAAAAAGAAAAAATGATACATTCATTTCAAGAAGTGTCTACATTTTTAAACAATAACTTAAGCTTTGAAATATCAACATCAATTTACATTTCAAATTATTTAAAGAAAGTACAGCTTCAGATACAAAATAAACTCTTTCCTTACCTTCCAAATACATCAAATACATCCTTTTATTCCTCTAATGCACCAGCACTTAAGATCTCAGAAGAAAAAACTATAGAGTGCTACAGAAACAACCATTTAAAAGAAAAAAATAGTCAGAGTGGCTGGATGGGTATTATCTTTCAAGGTTTTTCTACATCTCTGACAAACAACTGAATGCATATGAAAATACAAAGGTAGTTACTAGAATTGTGGAATCGTTTGCAAAACTTGCAAAAGAACCCCAAACTCTGGCTTTCCCAACTGTTATCTAATATATACCAGTACTATTAAGCACACTTCTGTATCAGTTGCAAGGTCGATTTTAACCAGTCATCATTTTTTATTATGAATGCCTGGCAGATTTTCAAAGCCTTGGTAGGACTGTGCCCATTATTTATTTTGCATTTCTATATTAAGGTTAATAATGAAGTATGAAAACCTAAATAAATTATATTTAGTACTCACTGCACAGTTCACTGGAATATAAGCATTCATACTTGTAATTTATTTTGCAAAATCTGAATTTGAGATATATTTACATTTGAGCACATATGCCAATTCCCTACCTAATTTCTTCAGAGAGTGATTTAATTTCTATCAAAAAACAGGAAAGCAACAGTTATACCACGTTTACATTCATGTATGCGAAGCTCTGAAGCAGAAGGGCACTGATCAAGAATAACTCAACTGCTACCACAATAACCTGCTGCTTAATTGAAGCAAATGATGCCCATGAAAATTAACATTACTGGTCTGAGGGTTTTTTTTCCTGGAAGGAAGTATGGCTTCACTGTTCTTGCAAACTCATATAGGTACACTTGATCATACTTTAAATTAGACCACTCAGATAATACAAACACAACCCCACTAAGGTAAATATAGACTGCTGATTTAGTGAGTAGGCTTTCTGTCTCTTCCCTAAAGGAGGAAGCCCTTTCTCCTTCCATTCTGCAGCAAGGACTTCTGAACCAGGATTGCATTCACCCCTTTGCAAGAAAGTTGAGAAATTAATCAGGCTGTTAAATCAGTGGTGACTTTTCTGTGCTTTAGAGGCCATACTGCTTACTAGTTGAGAACTAGTTTGGTTTATGACTACATATGATGCAGCCACAGCAAAGAGAATACTTTTAGCAGCTTGTTTTTTTTACAGAGAAACTATTTTTTACCTTGTAAAAGGTATAAGCATGTTTTGTATAGATTTTCGTAAAGAGACCTTCCTTACTTGAAGATTCAGATTTTAATGGGTTTTTTTTAAAGTATTAATTCTAGCTTAGCACAAGATGATTTCCTGATGCTTGGGCGAGCAAGCTCCAAAGACCTTCTATTTACAAAATGGTTATTCTGCAAAAGGCTGATAGAAATATGCTGCTCGACTGGCTTCAGTTGGTAACTGACATTAGGTAATGGATTTAATAGATCTAGCAAAGCATTTATTTCCTGTTAGCATGCATGACAACCTCACTAGTTACCCAGCCACATTTGGATTCCATTTATGTCTCGGAAAAAGACACCAAATGAAAGCTGCCAAAATAATTTTTAGAAGGAAAACATCCCACTTTTGTTTAATGTTACTTAGAAGCACAAAACAGTAAATTAGGTAAAAGTTCAACTTAAAATTGTTTTCTAAGTCAGTTTTACAAAAATTAAATCCCACCAACAGTAGGACTCTTCAGTAAAGAAATTGCTCCAAGAGAAGTCATGCATTTAAAATATAGAAAAGTGCTGTGCAAAGGGAAAAATCCTTGCATTTCCTATCCCTACTTTACCTGTTAAAAACATTTTCATCCTCACATTTTTAAATTTTTTTTAAATATAAACCAGGTGTTATCTGCCCAGAACAAAGCATTTCCTACATGTTTTTTCAAAATATCTTTATGATTTTTACCACAGTTAGCAGTACTGTTAAAATTCCTCAGAGAGGACTCCAGGCTGGTCTGAAAACCACATTGCATCTTCAGCAGGTGTAAGTAACATCATATCTTAAGCAACAGCAACATCCCTTGGCCTGTTTATGACAAAGCCAGTTTTACAGTTGTGGGAAACTTCAACGTGTTTTTATAAGGTAAAACAATGACAACTTAAGAAACATCATAAAAGCTAAGAAAACAGAATTTGAGCAACTAAGAGCAAACTGAAGTGTTTCATTAATGTCTATTGAAACATTTTTAATATTCTAAATAAGAATTTCATTTAAGACTCAAAACCTGCAGCTAAGCTCAAAATAACACAGAATCTAAGACTCTTTTCCAAGTAATCTGCAACAAAATTAGGAGAGTCAATGAAGGCACATTCTACTCCCCATTTCCAAAGCCACCTCTTAAGATGAATTTGTCTTTAAAAAAAAAAAGACAATAGTTATTAGTCTCTTAACTATAGGCAAAACAGTGTCAACAGTCCACACAATCTGATTTTTCCATTATATTCTTGATCATCAACAGCTACTCAGACAGCTGCTGTCACAGGGTTAGTCTGAGCTGAAAAAGTTAAATCTATCATGTGTTACTTCTTTCTTTTCATTCAGAGAAACTTACTTTTTCCTTTTTTTTTTTCCTTTTTTTCTTTTAAGATGACAAGTTTTAATGATTGTGGATACTATTGTTTGAAGCCTGTACAGGTACTGAACAACTGGAACATTAAATATGTTAAAGTACACTAAAACTAAATCATATTGCCTTAGATTGCTATATTTAAACATAATACTATTGTTAAAACAGACAGACATCTGAGATGGTTTAACACTATCAGTGTCAGAACTTAAATGCAAGAGAATCCTTTTAATCAAAACATGTTTTATATAATGAAAGAATCATTCACTTGGCTTTTAACTGCCATTGAAAAAAGTATTTCATGACACAATTTTACCTTCTATATAGTTTCAATTAATAAACACTTTCAACCAAGTAGACTAATTGCAGGTTACCAACTGAAATACAAACATTTCCCACTGCACGTTCTTTCTTTGCATGAATGAGTGAAATAAAATTGCACTTAAATGCTAAATTTCAGACTATACCAATAAAACCATTATCAGTGAAAAAACTATGCTTAAATTTTAATTCACTGAATGTGAACCATGCATGTCTACTTTCAACATTTTCTACCAGTGGACCATTTATGCATTTAGTTTGACACATAAGAACACTATCTACAGGGAAGAACTTTTGTTGTAAAACAGTATCATATTATGCTTGTAATAAAGTAAATGCATAGTTCATTAGATATTTCAGAATTACAGTTCTTTTGAAATATATATATAATTTTAACCAATTACTGCATAGTAGAAAAAAGGAGGAAAAAAAGAGAGAATCAACTCATAAAAATTAGTGTATATGAAGAGCTATTGCTGAATTCATAGGTACATTTTGATTGCATTTAATTTAGTACCAACACCTGAAAAATGGGATTATTAAAGCAAAAACTTGGATTAAAAAATTATTTTTTTGTTCCAAAACACCACCACTATTTAAGGTTTGGTTGTATTTTAATGATTCGTATTTCATACATCCTGTTACACGAAAGGCATTCATGGTTTGCAGCACCATTTTTCTTATTTTCAATACACGGTGAGACCTGTCCCTCCCTCCTCCATCTCAGAAGTGTTCCCCTGTGATATATCTGAAAACACTCTGAATAAGCATTGTTACTTCTATATCAAATATAAAGCCACTTAGCTAAAATTTAATTCTGAAGAATGTTAGCGTATTTCACAGTGATGAAAAACCTCAAAGGTTTCTTACTCTCTCTTCATCCACCGCCATGACAGGAATTTTCAATACTTGTCATCATGATGACATAAGGTCAGGCAAAATCAAGGTTAAATTGTTTATGCAGGTTTTACAGAATCTTGACTTCACAGCATTTTCTGCTATTTGTCAATTGCTTGACAGTTTAAAATTGTTAGTAGTTTTAACTCCTACCAAAAAAAAAAAAAAACCCAAACAGTCAACTCTGTCTTTTTAATTTCCTAATTCTTGTGGAAGCAAAAGACAGCATTAAGAAGATAAGAAGATGTTTTCATAATTATGCTTTCATTGCAAGATCAGATCTGAGGCATACATCATTCAGTGCAAAGTCATCACACACTACAGAGAGAAGACAAAACCCCCTTCATTCTCCCCTGCGGACCCTACAGGTACATGTGCAAAACCCAGCAAGACTGAAATAAAGATGGACACAATGTACAAGATACTTGTGTAGTTAATATTTGCTCTATGGTTTTACAAAAAAATAAATCAAATATTACAGAAATTACTATTTTTATAGCTTTGAATGGTCTCTCAGTGGCCAACAATTTCAAACAACTTATTAAAATCCAAATAAGAGTTCATGAATGGTATTACTGGAACCATCTAAGTTTACCAGAACAAGAGCAGCATTTGTTGTCACAACATGACCATCATCCTTTAAACACACACATAATAATATAAGTCAAGCCTCTACCATGTATCTTGAGACTGAAGTTATATAAAGGATAAATTTACAGTGTTTTAGTAAATACATATTCAACATGAAGAAACATAAATTGCAATAGGAATATAGCAATAACAAACACAAACTGTAAGTTTAATCAAGTATTTCCATGAAAGAAATAGATGCCACAGAGATGCTCTAAATATTTTCTTGCTATTTATTTTCTTGCTTTTTAACTTCTTGCCTTTTTCACTTCTTGATAAACCATTAATTGCATGTCATGCCAACTGCAAGGGATGACAAAAAAAACCAAAACCCTAAACCAAAAAAAGAAATATCTTAACAGAAAGGCACACACAAACAAAAGGAAGGCTTTTGTTAACCACCCAGCAGATACAGATTCCTTTGAGCCCAGTACTCCTCAAGTGAGAAGAGAGCCACTAGGTTTTCTCATTGCTCAATATTATCCCTAACAGCAGCAGGCAGCCTGCAATTGTCCAACACTTTTCCACACACATTTTTCTAAAAAGCTTCCTGAGCAACATGTGCATGTCCGGTATCATTTTACATTTGGAATCACAGACAGATTGGGTGACCTCATGTAGTTTAGCAAGTGAGGAGCGAACGAGAGCTATGGTCTCTTGCCTTCCAGTCTGTGCCCAATCAAGCAAGAGGATAATGATTCAAAACATTACAAAAACTTGGTGAAAGTAAAATCTGGAATGTAGTATTTAAGAATGAGCACCAACCTATTCACCCTTCAACATAACAAAGCCAAGAAGCTTTCCATGTTGCCAGTTACCCTGCATGTTCCAATTAAAACTCTTTTGATCAATAAGCAGTAACCACGTATCGTCTTTACCTATAGCTAATAATATAATCTTGAAGAAAGGACCAAGCCTGAAGATGATAAAGGTCAGCCATTTAGCACATCCTACATTCATTTTTCAGCTATCTCCTGGGGAAAAAAATATAACCTTCTGGTAACATGAGAGATGCATATTGTACAGCTGTGGCAGTTTCTATAATGAAACTCCAGATATAAATGATAATATCCATAATACAAACCATAATTCTAAAATATATCTGAATATGTGTGTGTATATATATATATCTAAAAAGAAAATTACCTATTTTCCTCTTTTATACACATATAAACATCTGGCTAATATGCCCCATAAAAATTTTTCCTTATTTAGGACTAATCTTTTAAATAACAGTTTTAAACAGTCCCTTAGAATATATTTTTTTAAAACACCATTCAAAAATGAAGAACTATCTCAGGGTAGTCAAAAAGCACACACAAAATAAATTAACATCATACAAATGTGGTTATATTGTTCAGAAAGTCCAATTCTCCCATTTGAAATGAAATGGAGACCAGTGTACCTTAGGGTGAATTATTCATCAATGTACAAATTCGTTCTCTCTTTCCATGTAAATCTTCATGCGAATTTATCTGCATTTCCATAAAGCAAGAAACACAGTAAATCTGCAGAACTCTGGCAAAAAGGAGTTGTGTTTCACTGGATAGAAGCAGTTTTTGCTGAAGGGCAGCAAGTCAACATTTTATCACCATCTGAACACTAGCAACACCTGTGCCCTTTTAAGCTTCACACCTTGAATTAGCAGCAACATACTTGAGGGGTTCAGTAGTAATTTTTCTTCCAGTATTGGATTAGACTACTTTGCATATACAGTAAGTCAAAAGTCTAGTAATTGTGTGCAACATTAATCCACATTTACATCTGAGAACTCATAAATACACATGGAAACAAAGGTGATAGAGAATTAAACCTCGTTTTAAGTTAAAATGTTTTCAGTCCACAACAGAAACAGCAGTGAAAAACAAGTATAAGATGGACAGCAGAAACAGAAGGAGTACAATAACTGAACCTGTAAGTAGGTCACTATTAAAAGGACAAGCTGAAATGAAAATTGATCAACAGAAGATGTAGACTGTACCATCTGCATAAATGCAGCATTATTTTGCGCATCACATAGAGCAGATGTGATTTCTAACAAGCATATTATAACAGCTGGCATACTTACTAATAGATTTATGGTAACTGAATACTTAATTTCTCCAGTTGTTAATGTACAGTAGTTATGCATTAGCCTTTAAAGCTCTTCTGCCAGCCTTTTAGAAGTGAAGGTTACACTTCCATGAATATTTAGCATCCCAGTAAGGAAGTTACAAATATTCACCTTCAATGAGCTTTCATACAATACAAAGATACTAAATACCTTTTTAAGCTGGATCATTTCAACTATGAGTTTACTTTTTGCTATCTCAAAGGAAACACAAGGACCTTTGTAACTTCCAAAGTGAAGGGTGTTTTAAGGCAGTAAAAGATGTGTACTAAGGTTTCCATGATTGTTTATGGTTGTCTACATGAATAAAGTGTATTACACACAATCGCTCTCATATATTTATCTACATGACTTTGTTATACTGTACATGATTTAGCAATCTTCTTGAGAAATTTAAAGTGCCACAGTTCAAATGTGCTCATCTGTCTTTTCATGGGCTTCTAGTCCATTCTAGTTGCTTTCAGAAATAAGCCCTTGCTTTACTTAAAGAGCAGTCTTTTTAGGGGAAAAAAAGAATTCATCCTTCACTGCTGTGCTAACTGGAATCCAGTGGTCGAACCAATCCTTCTTTGTAAACACGAAGAATAGCTTCACAAACAAATTTGTATTGACTCTGTATAAGAAAGAAAAAACAAAACCAGTTATGGATGGTTAAAGTCCTGATTATACAGTAGTATTGAATAGGACTAACAGTCCCACTGCTTCCTTTTTTCTTGGACAATGACAGGAGAGAATATACAAAGATGGAAGGAGAAAATCTAACTCTCCTGGCTGTGTTCAGAGTAAAGAAAAGTAACATTTACTCTTCTCTGAAGGACAAGCATTAAAAATCTCACACCAAGGAAAATACAATCCCCAAATTTAAAAGAACACATGCTTAAATTTCAGGGAATAGGACTTATTTGAAAAAGCTATGCATATTTATATGATTCTCTGACTAAGTTTAACTAGTTATGTTCTTTACATATCTCATTTTTTTGGTAGTTATATGACTATTACAAGTATTTTAACCTTTCCAATCCTGCAGTTACATATTATTGGGTACATTTAAAGTTATGTGATCAAAACCACATTCAAAGTTACCATACAGGATATATAGGTCTAAATGCCTTGCTTAAAACTTTTTTTAAAAACCACCTACCCTATTACAGAGGATGGAGCCCTTTGTGATCAGACCACACGTCTCCTTTTGTAACAGAATGGGATCAAAACCTTTGGAATGAGTATTTTTTAAGAGTAGCAGCCACGTTAATTCTTCTGTCACCCAACACTCTAAGTTCATTTAGTTCTTATAAAGTCTTCACAATTTAGATAAATTAGATTAGGGATTCTTTTCTGAATTATATTATTAGATTATTTCTTCCATGACCTCATGATATACCTATTTGTTAAAAGCAGTTAGCCTGTGAGCCTCACTCTCAGATACAAGGAGACATTATCAATAGGACTAGTGCAGAATGAAAAGTCATATGTAATCAGGCTATCTGGATTAACACAATCCTGAGAAGATGATGAAAACTTAAAAGAATTTACAAGGATCAAAGGAGACCTCTCCTCTTCTATGATAGTTCTTTTCTCTATTGTCAGACCCCAAAATGAACATCTTTCTCCTAAGCTCCATATCATATGTTCAGAGAAGCGCAGGTTCACTTTTCTAAATCTATTTTAATACCTTTGAAATGTTCTCCCAGCTGCCCTTGTATGTCAGCTCTCATCAACTCTCCAGGAGCATCTAGAAACATTTCCCCAATATGTCCCAAAGGACAGCGATAAAAGATAATGCTTGGGCTGTGAAAGACCTTAGGTTGCATTTAAATACCAGTATTTAGGAATGTTATTCTTGTCCATAACCTGCCATACATTTTCTCTAAAGTACAGAAAAACTTAAGGAAAACTGGGGGATGAAAATTAATTTTCTGCATCTCGATTTTCCTGCCTTTTCTTTCAACCCTTCAGTCAACTACTCCCACCTTCAATATCACACTGTTCTTTTGTCTTTATTTCTTAATTACCTTGTCTTTTCTCTTCATTGTTATTGTCATTTGCATATTTCTACTGCCTGAACAAGCCAAGTGTGATATTTAGCTCTGTTCAATAGTTCAGTTAACTTGTGTGATCAAGTTACTGAAAAATAAGAATGAGCACTTCAGCATTGCTTCCTCTGACTCAGACTGACTACATGTTTTCTTTGCTCTTATCTGTTGCATGTATTCTTACTGTTCACTCAGCTGATAACTAGCTCTACTATGTACATCCTAAAGCACTGTTTTTCATACTGTTTTATACCTCTAATTTCTCTTTAATGGAATGTAGTGGTTAGTTTTTTTTTTGTTTTGTTGTTTTTTGGGTTGGGTTTTTTTTTTTTTTTAATAAAAGGCTATACAGTTACACAAATTTTCTGGTAGCTTTATTTTGGTCAGAGCTTTTGTTTTGATGTTCCTGATGACCAAATTACAATTCTTTAAGAAATCACAGTGATTTCATGTGATTAATAGCAGAAACTAAACTGAACAGTTAATAGCTCCGATGAGTCCATTCTTACTACTGAGTATGCCCTGTCTGACTAACTCACAACATGCATCTGGCTATGAGTATTATCTTAGAACTGGAACACACATACAATCCTCACAGGGCAGCTGAACATGCTTCAGGAAAGGCTGTTACAACAGAACAATCCCTAATGACTTCTCCTAGAAGCTCTAAGGTGAGTATTGAATATGAGCAGTGAGGCTAACTGGAATCCAGGCATGGGAATGCGATAGAGCACCAAGTATAGATCAAAATGTTAACATGCAGCTTTTTGGTATTGTTTTCTCACAGCTGAGTGCTTGCTTCTGTGGCTCATTTACAGCACAGTATGGCAAATCTGCTCATTGGCTTTTTACAACAGTATCTGCATACTTCAGAAATAACAAGTGAATTTAGTTTCACAGTATTGCTGCTACAGATCATCCCTCTCCTGATTGTGCTGATAGTGAACTTTGGAACACAGCAAGCGAGGTATAGGATCCTATTTTAGATACTCAGTTTTCCACACTCAGGGTCTGATTTGTCAGTGTCTTCATCACTATTCCCCATATTCTTCTGTTACATCAAACTGTAGAGTGCAAGGACAATTTCTGTTGATTTCTATTGTACCAGGAGTGACTCAGCCTTCCTGCAAGCTGGAGTTTACTTCAGGTTCTCATGCCTGATTCTCAAAGAGATGACCACCTCTAGCAAGTTTAAGCCTGAACTTGCTCAGTTCATTTTAGAAACTGAGGCACGTAAAGAAGTACAACTCCAGAAATCAACATTCAGATTCTGTAAAACTCGAGGCTAGTGTTTCTCATCTCATGACATCTTTTGTCATATGTTCAGCTTCCATTTCCACAAAGAACAGGCAGGGGACTACTCAAGACAACTCCCTCCTCAACCATACAGTCCTGATGCACTTCTAGAGAATGCACTCATACTACAATGAATGAGAGCCCCAGCAACATGCATGAACAATCCCCGCTCACAGAGTTACACAAGCAACTGTAATTCCTGACACCTCCACACCCTCGATAACTCAAGACTTCTCCCCCCATCTAGTCAATCATAATGCTAGCTCCTGCAGTCATTAATCTATTAATGAATAGAATTTGTCTTCTCAAGTTACCTTCTTCCTTTCCTTGATGAAATGGAAGCCAAGTCATTTTATTTTAAAGATGACAGACAGAAATGCCCAATTTAACTGTTGACTTTGTGGGTCTAGACTCCTTTGCTTCCATTTGTCATGAGGCATTTAGGTCTCCCAAGATAACCCACACAACATTCTACCATCTAACCTCTACTCGAGAAAGTAGAGCCTCCCATCCTTCATCCTTTTGTCTCTAATATTGATATATTCATTTCCAAATCTGTCGCAAAATTTCCCCTGATTTCAAATTGTCTTTGAACCAGTACCATCTTAAAATCAGCTTCTACTTTGATATTTCAGTTACTGATACTACCCAGCGTTTCCTGAATTTCATTCTTGCCCTTTGTTTTTTCAAACTGGAGTAATGGAACAATTAAAAAAAATACATATATTGTTTCTATTGAATTTCTATGCCTAAAGTAGCCCCTTAAACAGCTATTTCCTCTCTTCAAATCATACTACAAAACGTTTAATTTTATCTTCAGTTTAATAACTTCCTATAAGGCTCTGTACTAGAATGAAATGCAAAAAATTATTCTAGCTCCTTGCAAGTCTGACTTTGTGCATTCTAACTACTTGCAATGTATAGAAATCAATTATCTTTTAATGGCAAGGTAGGACATACTTAGAAAAATTTTAATACACACCTCACAAGCAAAGCAGCTTTTGCCACCACACTATGTTATGCCAAGTATAGGAAGTATGAAATACAATATAATGCAACTGAAGACTCATACAACTAGATAATTTTTTAAATTTTCAGATTTTTTTTTTAAACTGGACAAGTGCAGTATATATACAGAAAGTGAGGCTTCCTCTCCATCACTTACTGATGTTTGCACCATCATAGCTCGCTGGTCTCGCATTTTTCGTACAATATCCAGTGGATAAACAGGTTGGTTTCTTTCAATTAAGCACATGGCTGTTTCCATAGTGACCAATACACCAGTGCGACCAATTCCAGCGCTGTGAAATGTAACAGAAGAATAGTCTATAAAATTAGGTTTTTGCAATGCACCAGATTCACATCACAGTCTTAATACTAGGATGCTAAATAGCCTTAGAAATTACAGGATGTCCTTAATAAAATTGTAACAGTGTGAAGCTTATCTTTAAAGCAACTTCAATATTATTTCCTGCCAATTATTAAAAACAAAATAATTTTTATATAAATAAAACTAAAACCTCACTTAAAGTAAATGTATTTTTAACAATTATAGCTCCTTACAAATCTAAATTTACTGATTTGGTATTTTTGACTGAAAAAGATAAGAGCTAATTGACTGCTTTTTAACAGTCACTTGAACAGCAGAAGAAAACCGCTTTGCAATACCATTCAAAATGAGGTTATAACAGTAGTAGAGGATAAAAATGGAGAACAATTTACACTACAGATTATCAGCTCTGTGATAATTACATGACTAAGCTATTTTACCAAAAGGTTACAGAAGAAAGGGAAATAAAAGAAACTCGTCCTTTAGATACAACACCAGTGCTTCTGTCTTCAGTAGCGAGTGCTAGTATTGCACAGTCCAATATTTTCATCTAATCCCAGGAATCTCCTGTCTTGCAGACAAATTTTTCAAAGCAAATGCTTACTCTAAGGCTGGAGCAAATCTCTGATCAGAATTTTCAAACACAAGTACCTGCAGTGAACAAGGACTGGCTCATTCTCTACTCTCTTTGGCCTCATACAAGTCACAAACTCCAAGAAGTCCATGGAGTCATCAGGAACACCATGATCAGGCCAAGCAACGTACTGGAGATGAGTGATGGTGTGTTGTTGTTCTGTCTAAAATACAGTAAGGTTTTCAAAAAACGTTCAGTGTTATGACTCCTATTCTGATGTTTACTCGATAAAAACCATACTTTTCACAGTAATTCTGCAGATGCTATAAGATGTATATGATGTAGAAAATGCCATTTTAAAATTCAGAGTAAAGTATGAACATGTAATTCTTATAAAGCAGGCAAAAGGCATTGCATTTTCTAAACAAATGAGGTATTAAGTTAAAAATCTATTTAGATCACAGAAGTTACATTTTTTTAATTTATTGATGGTTGACCTACCTTGACATCACTGATTCATCTGAGGTAAAATGCTACAAGACTTATGCATAATAGTACTATATAATAGTTTAGAACAGGTTTAAAGAAACAGCTGAAAACAGGAGAAGAACTACTGAGAACAATATCAAAGTAACATGGGTTTGGGGCTACACAATCTATTCTAAATATGTATGTCTGTGTGTACTTACAGATTCAGTGATAATATAAAGTTGCCTGCAACATTTGCTAAGTCTGGTTTCTGTTAGAAAACAATATATATATTGTTTACACACATGCTCATTATACATATATGAGTGACTTCTGTATGACCCATAGAGGATAATTTTCTGTATGGAAGCAACGTAATTAGTTAAGATTCTGTTGTATGAAGAGCTCTTTTTTTCATTCAATTATACCTAAAAAAAATGGTTTTACAAAAGTTCTTTCAGTTTAGATTTTTGTTAACTTTGATTATGAAATCACTCAATCATATTTGCATTGAGATTGGGCTCAAGTGCTTTTACAGATGTAACCAGTGATTAGGGTGGGAAGGAAAAAAAACCTAAGACAGTACAGAGCTCTGTTGTGTCATGCAATGAGGATCTCACTCTTTACAAATGGAGACAAAGCTTCATGTTCCTTTATTTCTTCCACAAGTTTAGCAACAGTTAAACTGTTAGCTGCATTTTACTGATGTCTATTACTAGACTTAACATTTGACAAGCTCTCGAAATAAAACTCTGCTTTATCATTGCATTAGTCTACAACAACTGGCCTCTCCCTGTGGTCCATGCAAGAATGCTTTCATGATGCTAGTGACTTCCCAAAGTTTTTTTCCTTTTAAGTGCACAACTACTGAAATATATGACCTGTTTTAAATGCCTTCAACTGCTTGCTTTTCTCTTCCACTTGAGAAAGTGGTTCTACTCCCACGAAGCAGGCTAGTAAGATACAGAAGACAGAATAACTACTGCCTAAGTACCAAGTAGAGTCCTCGGAAATGCGTTTATTCCAGTCAAAATAACTGCAGAAATTTACAGTTGACTCCAGGAACATGAAGATAAACAACACAGCTCATATTTTGCTTCTTAAGGGCAGAGCCTGAGCAATCACTATTAAAAGGTCTAGCATAAGGCCCAAGTGGACAATGTAATCTAACATTAATGGGCAAGCTTATCATAATACAAATTGTATTGACATCTATCATCCAGGTCATCAAAAGACCCCACAATGACTGGGACTTCTGCAAGAAAAAGCTCGGCCTTTTTCTACTCATTTTTGCTGCCATTATGTAGTTGAGCTTGATCAAATGATTATACTTTAGATTTTTTTAAAATGCTACAGATTGAAAAAATACAAAACCATGACAAGAAAATGCCATTTAAAAATCCTCTTTTTCAAATCTGTGTGTGCTTAATCAGAACTTCTTCAGAAGGGAAATGAGATAACGCAGCAATTACATGTAACAGTTTGAGATGATTCTCTTAAATCAGAGACATCCGAATTACAGCATTCGGGTGAAACAAAGACTTGATGCATTATAAAATTATCCAAGAGTGAGTATCCAGTCACCTTCCATGCTCATCAAGAACTTCAAGCCATGAGTTGTGAATACGTGCCAGTGGTACAACTGAGAACCACTGATTGATCTGTAGCATCAAAAGCCATTTTACAAGCTCAGAAAATAAGAAAGTTTACTTAAGTTTTACTTATCAGTAATTCAGGCTCAAATATATAATTTTATTTTTTAAAAGGGTTCATAAAGTACAACAAGCATGTTATATAAGACTTATCTGGAGTAAGAATACACTGTAAGAGCATGCACTTAGTCTTCAGATTTGTTTCTTGTGGTGTGATCACCTTCATTTTCTATTACATGCCCTTATCCCTAGAGACTAACACAGCTGTTTGTTAATTATTCCAGGTATGCCTCAAGCTTCAGTATTGTTTTCTAGCTATTTGTTTTCATATATTCAGTTTTGAGTCTTTTGGTTCACCTCTTCTGATATGATTGAAGTTTTTAAAACTTCACCATTACATCACTCGCTTTTCAAAATGCACAAGTATACTTTATTTTTTATTAGTAAGTTAAACTTATTGTAAACAGTATAGTCATATATGTTAGAACTATTTTTTTTAATTCTAATACTTTCATGTTTCATACAGAAGATATCAAATCAGTACTCTGATGAAGTCCAGATTTTTTTAAAGCTATTTTGTGTGGGTTTTTTTTTTTAATACAAAATCTTCAAGTCTTTACAGTCATAACAAAAGTCATATGTTAAAATCATAAAATGTCAGCAAAGTAACACCACACATGGAAATAACCTGCATTAGAAGACCATCATGGTTCCAAAAATCTAGTACTCAAATCTTAAAAAAAGTGCTAGAATTATATTACTGGTCCCAGAGTCAGCCCCACCGTACATGTCCTAATAACAATACTTATTTTTAAATACCATTTCTGCCAGATCCTGTTTCTTTGTACAAACCTGGCAATTGAAAATAGGAGATAGCTTCTTATTACACTCAAGTTGCCATATAAACCATTACTCTCTGCAAGTCAGCTTAAATCCTTTCCACAATTTTTTTTTTTTTCACTGTAGTATCCTAATGACTGATTAATGTAGAATTTATCTTTACAAAATCTGGCTTTATTAGTCCTGTTTTGCTGTCTCATTTTCTGCAAATTTATATAAGAGTTGCTCATGGCCCAGCTGCTGTTTTTGCCTAACTTGACATTATAGACCTTGTTGTTCCAAAAATACTTGTGTTTTTTGCACTCACATGGGCTGATATCAATTGAATTTATGTATTTGGTATTTCCACAAATCATCTTAAAAGGAATGGATTAAAAAAAGAGTCCAAAGAATTTACGGACTCCAGTGACACTTCTGGATTATGTAGTTTGCCCAGTGTATCATCAGGCATTTGGCCAGCATTTAGCTGCTTCATGACATTGACCCATGTTTACTTGGCAGGGAGATACCAAGGTCTAAGACATCATATCTGTCCCAAGGTATTTGTTCCTGTCCTTCTGATAATTGTTATTGTTGCTGCAGCAATGTGTCAAGCCAAAAGTTAAGATGTACCTACTTTCTGTGCAAATTGAAGACATCTTACTGCAAAAGCAACTTCGTTGTGGGTAAGCTAACATCCTACATTTTGCTCAAAAATACAGGGTAAAGACACATTATCTTTTCTAATAAATCTGCCATTGGGACTGCAGAAGTAATGGCACAGGACTGTCAGAAGTAATGCTTCAAATGGTTCCTGTAACATTTGCAAAATCATCTCATTGTCAAGAACCTCCACCCACAAAAATATCCATTCTTCATATTTCTGCAGCTTGCAGGCTTGCTTATTGTAATTACATCAAAAGACAGGCTTCTTCGTTTCATTCTCCTAAAATGACTCTTCCTGATTAATGAAAAAATTAGGTGTTCTTCAGAAAAACAACACACAGAGCTTAGAATAATAATCATATAGAAAGAAGGAAATTTAGCCTTGACAGGTCAACCATAATTTGACTTTTCTTAAAATTCAAGCAATTGGTTTTAGATTTCACCTCTTCATTTAATGTCCTATTTGGTTTAGATTATAATTTAATCTTCAATTTTAAAAATGAGAAGAAATTTCACCATGTAGAACTACATTAACCTTGAAATGGTCCTATTATCTTTTAAATAGGAAAAAGTATGCTCTTTGCTAGTAAGCTTCACAAATATACCTTGAAAGCTAAGACTCAGTGATCAGGGTTAAAGCCTAGTTTCTGAAGAGCAGTGGCATTTAGCATTTCTTTGGACCACTGTTCCCACCTCATTATACCTCTGTATACCCTTGCCCTAAAATTTTTAATCTACTTCTGTTCAGCTCTTTACTATTCAAAACCACCTTGTTTTCTTCTTCTTCCACGAGTATCTGACAAAACAAAATGTGTTCAGTTCAGAGACTTTTCAGAGAAGCCTTTAAAATACCTTTGCAGTGCAACAGGTTTGTTCAAGACATTTATGACATGGTCAAATTTATACAGATTTCTTTGGAAAGAGAAAATACCAGGTCTTGTTTTATGTCCGGAAGCAAAAGTTTCAGTGAACTGATCTAAGAATCTTTATCATGAGCAAACTCAACATTTGCCCTGACAAACTGTTGTATGACATGTGTATGTCAAAGAAGACAAATTGCATGGAAAGCCTCAGCCCAAACAATTAAGATGTATAAAAATTATATTCTGCTTTCAGCTGTTTATAGCAGAAAGTGCTGGCAGTACACTGATTTACATTGCTGTCTTTGCTTTATCTAGTATCAATTTAACACAATCACTAGAAGGCCTACATGCTGGTCATTCATAAACAGAAAGATACTAGTGATTTTTCATCTTGCAGTTTCACCTCCTCCTTTCAGCAAACAGCAATATCTTTCCTTAGCAAAGTGAATTTATGCTTAATCTTCAATTTGTTTGAATTGCCGCATCAATTTATTTTCTTTTTCCTTCAAACCACCCCCTCCATCATTGAGATGTCCATGGGAAGTGATAGCTTTTAAATGAAAAGTAAGCTTATCTCCCCAAATCCTTCTATTTGCATTGTCATTGTCAGCACAATCATGCTAAACGGTCCACATGACGACACAGGGAATTGTCTTAATTACCTTGACCTGAGTTGTTTATAAGGTCTCTCTTCATTCATTATAACAACGGTATAACTTGTCTTTAAAGGATGAAATTCAATCGATTTTTAAACATCTTGAATTTTTTTCTTTTTGTTTGAATGATTTAGTTAATAAAACTAATCAGGTGGGAGAATGACAGAGCACTTTGGAAACAACTAACAAGCTATGGCAACAACTAATATAAAATTGAGGAGATTAAAAAAAAACCACCTTGCAAAATTACAGTTCTTCAAAGTTATGTGAGTAATATGTCTCAGAAAGTATCATATCCACAGCCTTGCTAAGTTCCATGGCTGGGTTCTAGTCACACTTAACTGAAATAAAGAAAAATACTTGTTTAAACAAGGGAAAGCAGCAAAAAATTTTGTCAAAACATAACTGGATGAAATTGGTGAGATTTAATGGGCAGTGACATGTTGCAAGGCAATCACCTTAAAGGAAACTGAATGACAGTTTGCTTCAGGCTTCTAAAGCTCTTTTTTTAGTGATTAAAAGAAGTATTTGTCTTGTTTTACAAAATAGTGCACTGTGTGATGAATCTTGCACTTACACTACACAATATCTTTCCTTTGGTCTGTTCATTCTGGTCCCCAAAGTGTTCTGAATTTTTTTCTAAACATAAAAACCCCTCAAGTTAAAAAAAAAACAAACAGTGCTTTATTTGCTTTTCTTTCATTTTGCTACAGGATAGCTTTCCATCTTGGTCTTGAAAAGGCAGGAATTTAATCCTTATTTCATTTTATGAGGCTTAGAAGGTTTACAAATATTTCACACATTTGCAGCTATTTACTGATCTTCACTTTCAGGCAAAGAAGCACCAAGTTAAACTGCATTAGAAAAATCCTAAAAAGTTTCTTGTTCCTCAAGTCTTCTAAACATAGATGAACAAAAGGCCAAGGGCATCATTTCATAAAGCTCTTTTTTGAGCTATTTTCCCCTAAAGGCAGATTTGAAATCTGTGCAACTTAATTCACAGGAAACTTTTTCACAAATACGCCTTTCCAACAGAAATCAAGTCTCTTGTGAGTTTGGAAGCTTTATCCACCTGACTATTAAAAGCTACTTGTCTTCAAAAAGACCAGTCCAGTGATGATCATGTTAGTTCAGGGAATAATAAAACCCTGCTTTGAATTCAGATCACTTTTTTTGTATTCTTCAAAGAATACAACAACAGTATCTGTGAGAGACAGTACGCTTAAAGCTTTGCAAAGTCTACTCAAATACAAGATGCCTCCAGAAAAATGTCTGGTCAACTTTAAGAAAGCAGCTCAAATGACATGTAGAACTAGGAGATACTTCAGTGTTTCAGAGTTTTTTTGTTATGTTTCAAAGCTACAAAGGCTTTTATTTCCATCTGAAATGCCAAATGCACATAGAGCTATCAATTAACAGCGTCATATTTTTGTACAGACAGCTTAATTTTGAGTGTAGCCACTTTATTTAAGCATACAAATAAACTTGCCTCTAGTGAAAAAAACTGACTCCTTCAAAACTACCTCACCCTCACTGCAACAAACACACATGCTTCCAGGACTAGCTTTAGCATGCTTTTGTCTAATCTAGATGAAATCTATGCAAACATATGCCTTTGAATTAGAAATTATGTTCTCAACTAAGAGCTGTCAAGAGACAACTTACACAGTTGAAGATCCTTGTAACTTACACACCTGTTAACACGTCTACAAAGGCTCACTATATTTTCACCCCACCTTTATCTCAAAAAAAGTAACTTGTATTAAAAAAAGAAAAAAAACAAACACACACATGCTCCCCAAAACAACAACAAAAAAACCCTGACTGCCTCATTCTCATTTGGATTTTAACTTACCACATGCTAGTAAATAGACACCTAAAGTGAAAACACGTACTGAATACAGTCACTGGTGAATTTAGTCAGAATTATGTACCGGTTTGATATTTACCAAGAAAAAAGAACAAGTTATTTGCAAAGAGTAAACTAATATTTACATGAAGCAAGAACTAACCAAAGTTAATTCGCAATCAACTAATTTGAGAGACAGGAACTAAAAGTCTGTCTACATATACTCTGCAGTACTGCTTTAAATTAGGTTAATTTCTTCTGACATTCAAGTTTATCACTTACAAATTAATTGGCTGAAAATGGAACCAAAAATCATGCTGCTCCCTGACTGGATGGTTTCTCATAGCTAGAAACTGAAACACTGCAAACCATCTTAACTGAAAGACCTTCAAGTATCAGCATCTCACAGGTTTATGACTACAAAGGAAATCTTAATCACATTAAAATAAATTTGGATGCACTGTCAACTAAGTGATAAATTCAGTTAGAAATTTATGAGACCAAAGCATCTGTCATCTTGTTGTAAGAACGACAATTAAATGTTACATTTTTAAAACTAATACTTCCTTTTTCTTACTACTAGCAATTCTAGTAACAGTAAAATCTACTTAACTATTCAGAAGTTTAAAAGATTGACTAGTATTGGAACTGTAAATTAGCATTTGGACAGTACACAGTGATTTCTTACACACGTATCTTATGCTAGCACAAACCCTTAATCTTACTATATAAAACCTGTGACCACAGAATCTTGGAAAAGAGATGAAGAGGGAAATGTATAAGAAATGTAAGACAACTTACAAACAAAAGCCAAACTTCATCCCCTACATTCAGGTCGTGGGAAGTCTAGATGTGATCTGAACATAGATTTCACAACACAAGCTGATATACAACAAGTATTCTGTGTATCTAACTTTCTTTTTTGCTTTATAGCTCTTCTATTAGCATAAAGTATTAACAGCTACAGAATATAAGTACCCTACATAAATTAAGCATATATCAATTGAGATATATAAAGATATTTTTTTCCTTTTTTAAAATCTGACTGAAGACAATTAAAAACTGGTGAGAATCTGCATCTTCTCTCAAAACACTATTACACTTCACTTCTTTATTAGCTATTCTAGCTGCATGTGCCATTAACCAAGTGACCCATATTTCATCCTTGAAAGAGCAGTTACTTAGAAAAAAAACCCTCTCATTGAAAACTGAAATACTTGTGAAGAGTCAGTGACTGCAAAACTGTTTACAGAAAAGCACTGAACTTCTTTATGAAGCTTATTACACTACCTGTACAGCATAATGTATTAATGTATTACAGAGGTTCAATAAGTATGTTTTTGAAGAAGCTCTAAAGAAATAGACTATACTATATGGATTCATGTAATGTATACTTTTTTTTTTAAAAAAAAATGTGCATATATATATACACACACACACACACTTGTATATTCACACACAGAGATGTACATGCTCACTCATGGAGTCTGTATCTACCTATCTATACATGTATTTCTTCAGGTAGTCTGGGAATAATTAAAGATAACTCATTTACCTCAACATTTGTAATGACCATTTCTCTAACAACATAAGCAATTGTACAATCTTCAGAGTGGCATCTGACACGAAAGCTGCCATATTCCATTACATCTGGTGGATCAGGCCAATACTGATGACATTTGGTCTGTAAAGAAAATTAAGCACACATCAAGACTGTATACAAGTACTTCTGTTTCCATTCTCCCCTCATACACTATATTCAGGGAATTCAAGGAATGGTATAAAATCTATTTTGGTTTGTTGGTGAGGTGTTTACATCCAAATTAGAAAATAACATGACAAAACATGCTAAATTTTCTATAAACTTTTGTTTTAGTAATTTATAATAAAAACTCAGGTAAACAACTTTTCAAGGCATAACGGAGAAGAAACAGATAGATTTATTCCATCTTAAGAAGAAAAACGTAGGTGGTGAATTTGTAACTAACTTCAGCCACCTAATAGCCGGTTATAGCAGACATAGCCACAATTTTCTTGAAAGTGAACAACAAAAGGATAAAAGGCAACTGAAAAAAAAATGCCAAAAGGAAAATTGTGAATAGATGTTGGCTAAAAATTTCCATGAGGATGGTCAAGCACAGAAACAAGATGCCTTATGAGGCTGTGGAATCTCCATCCATGGAAAAAATCAAAACTTAACTGACATAACACTGTGGACTCTGCATGAAGTTCAAAGCTGCTCCTGCTTTGAGCAAAGAGGAGTGGACCAGATATGTCCACAGGTCCATTCAAACCTGAATTATTCTTAGACCGTGAAGCAAGATCAGGCTAGAATGTAAGAAGCAGTGTGAACCAGTCTGTCCCCCCCTATTCCAACACCACAGTCCCGCAGCTGAGGGAAGGAGCAAGGCAGACTCCATTTCTGGAGGCCTGAAGATGTAGCTCATTCTGTACCAGAGAGGGAGCAGGAAAAGGAATATCCAACAGAACTGCCACCCCTTAACATGCACCCTCCAGAAGTTCAGTGTGCCTGGTACCCATCTGGCTGCCTCCATGAAAACCGTTTCCCTTCTCTATCTGAAAGCAAGTGGCAAAGGTAGTGAAGTCACCCTAGGATTATTATAAAGACTGCTTCCTTAACTTGGGTATTAGTTTTCAGGCCACTAAATGCTATGTGTTATTTCAGTTTTTGACAGGGATTCACCGAATGGGAAAGAGGTCTTTATTTTTCCATTTGATCATATTTTGTGTTTTAAGGCAAACATTTTTAAAACACAGAATAGTGCTTATAAACATCAGTAGCAAAAGTACTATATAGAAAATTATCACAGTATCTTGGTCATATAATGAAAGTTACCTTTCACACTTTCAAGGGAAATCTGAGATCAGAAACTGGAAGAACCAATGAACAACTTCAGTTCACGTGTGTGTCATTTGTCAAAGAGCTGTATAATTCTTTTCTACATCAGATGCAAGACTGAAGACAGAGATCTTCTCTTAAATGACTATTGTATCTAAATGCTGAAGTTATGAACAAAAGCCCAGAAGCATAACCTATTGATGCAAGAAAATGTAATTTGCCTTCTACCTCAGAGAGGATTAATGCAAGGCCATAATGGCTTAGCCTTCAAGCTTACCAATGTGTGACACGCAAAGTTATACGTGCATGTGAAGGCACCTGATTGTACTGTATATGCAGTTTGAGGTACACCAAAATACAACTGAGAGCAGAAGTATAATTCAATATTAAAATTACATCCATGAAATATCCTATTTTTTCTAAAAGAAAACAGATGAATCAGTTCTGTGTACAACCACAGGGAACCATTTTCTCTCCTGTCTTCTGCTGCTGCATAGTAAAGAGGTTGATGTTCGGATCCCTACCACTCTACTGCTGAAATTACAAAGCCTTCCTTTTTCTGCTTCTAAAGGCAGATAAGATAGGCACATCTAGCCAGCGTGCATGTAAATTTTGTAGAAACAATCCTAATACCAATATCTATTCCTCATTTTTAAAGTTAAGCTTAGAGCAGTGCTGATGACAAAGTTTGCTACCTCATTTCCCATCTAATTAAAGGCTGAAACATTGTGGAATAGACTGAACTTGAAAAACTATTCCTGGGAGATACTAATTCAGTGAAGTATTTGTCCACTGAAGACAACTAAAGTTTGCTCATCAACATAAGGGTTTTAACATTTCATTCCAGTAATTAAATATTTTCATCTTCTATTTCTCCAACTCCTGTCCTGTAAATAATTGCCATCACATAATAAATCCAAGCCAAGCAGTTTCCAAGTATGAGTCCACTGAACTTATGAGAAAGACATACTAAAGAAAAAGTCCAGCTGAGCTGTAAGAAAATTCAACGGATTCATAAAAATACATCTTGACACAACTCCCCAGACACCGTAATGAAAACTTTATTTAATTGTGTGTGATCAAAACAGCTGAGCTATAGTTGTCGCTTCACTGCCTATATATTTTAATAATAATTGTTACTAGCTCCAAAAGAAACCAAATAAATTGATATTCCCAACATATTCATATTTCAGCTTTAGTTAATTTGGATTCTCTATCAACTTATCAACATTGCCTGTGCCATCTGTAACATTTTTTGTGTATAAATTTTCTAAATTAACACAGAGTGGCAAGAGCTGGGAATTTTGAAATGTTAAAATAAAATGTCTTAATTCTACCTTCCCTAAGGCTCAGTTTTCAATGGCTTGAAATACAAATTTTAACCATCATGTCTGAAACTTTTACTGCAGTAGTTTATCTGAAATACTTTCCCCTTTAAATGTAAGCCAAAATAACGCATCCATTTCTAAAAAATGAACATTAATGAGGGGAAAGCCACCATTTTTTATTCTATTATACAAATCTTAACACCACTGAAAAGAAATATTCTAGAATGTAAAACCTCCAGGGTTTGAAAAGAGATTTGGCATTTGGAAATGGGGATAATCTTTTTATATACCTGAAAATTCACCCACAAACAGGGCAAATATAAGTCATCTCTGAAAGTAAACAAAAGTTTCTGGTGTATAAAGGTGCCAGCAAGATGGTTAGAAGTTAGCAACAATTTGCATTCAACGTTCCAAGACACTGGGCAAAGTACAGACTAATAATAAACTGTCTTTCTCCTCAATACAAGGAAAAGAAAGCAGGAAGGTATTCTGACTGCAATACAGTGGAAAGAAGGGAGCATTTTTGTGCCAGATGTTTGTGTTCATGAACAACTATGTAATTTTTACCACGGTTAAAATCTCTCGTTTTTCAGATTTACATGTCTTTCATACATTTCGATGAGGAATTACATTGTTGCTTAACAGTCCTTACTTATGTCTCAATCGTTATGCTGTTTAGGACCTCAAATACTCTCTTACTTTCCCAAACCATTTTTGACTGGGATGCCAGATAAATTCGATAGTGTAGTACATATTGCATAGGAAATAAAGAGAAAGGCTACAGTGAAGGCATACAAGAGTCACCAACTTCCCCACCTCTTAAATAAACCTGTTCAGTTTGCAGCTTCTAAAACTTCAAACACAATCCCTTTATGTATATCAATAACCTAAAAACATCTTTAAAACTACAAAGGATATGTTAAATCAAAGTACAACAGTATACACCAGATATTGCTTTAATTTTCACATTATTCTGAAATTAATGGAATGCTAGAATTAAAAGAATTAAGCGGAATTAAAGGAATTATCAGAGCAATTCTAGGGAAGAGCCTACACCATAAATAAAAGTAAACCCGTCAAATTCTGACCATCAGCATTCTAAAACTAGTAAGTACTGTAGTGGCAGACTAGTCTGAAGCCAGACTACAAGTTTTGCTCAATGGGCTCCACACTTCCAGATGTCTGCTGAACTGTTAGGACAGCAACTGCCACATCGAGCCCAGGGAGAAAAAAATGACAGCATATAGTACCTGGCTGATCAGCAAAATGGAGTCAACGCAGTGATTGCTGTTTATCATGCAGCTGTTTTTTGTCAGAGAAGTGTAACAAAAAGGAAGTTACAGAGCATCTGTACCTGTAAGTAATTCAGAAAGCCTGGCCTTCAGAGAAACAATTGAACAGAATAAGCTGGCCTATTTTAGGGTTATTTAATAATAACAACAGGAAAAAAGTTTAAAGGTACAGCACATTTCTTCAGCACACAAAGAACCTGAACACTCACCCGTCCTCGTTCAGTGAGAGTTGTTAACATGATGATCAGTGACAACTTGTGATCCCAGACTACTTGCCAGAAGTGTGCACATGTGTGTGGTAGAGGCCCCTGAGTAGCAATGTACCTGTTCACAATGCCTACAGAAGGAATTTCCATCTATAAAGAGAAAGAAAAATCCTATGTAAAGCTTGCTCCCATTACTCAAGCACTATCTTAATTCAGCATTTTATTCAAACAGGAAGTTCTGAGGGAAGATTAAGGTGGCAAGTTGAGTAATAAGACAATCAAGATCACAATTTGTTATGTGGAAAATCTTTAAATATTTCATTTAAACCAGATGTATATGAGATTCTATAATCCTTCATGCTGAACTAGGAATAAATGGTTAATAGTGAAAATCTATTTGAAAACTGGAAACTACAAAGCTTTCCAAATTTTCTTTAATATTTAGTAAGGAATAATGGCAAGGTATACCATACACGAGCAAAAGCTATTTATTGCCTGATACTAGACACACTAAGTTAATAGTTGATTCTGTGATTTAGGTGTTTAACTCAAGTACCTCACACACACACACACACACACACATATATATTTCCCTCTTTTCCCTGTCTCCCAGGTTACACACATGATTAGGGCAATCAGGGCTCTGGTTTATCTTCTGGACCCTTCATAGCAAAGATAGAGCATAAGTGGTTCTAGAGGGAAAAAGGCTTAGCTTTAAGCTATAGGAGACAACCTCTGCATTTTCCTATGGAAAGTAAACCAATTTTTACCAGTTAAAGATTCGGCACTTATCACAGTGTATACTATGTGCTTGTATGTACCGTGTATCAGGATGGCCATTTGATTCACAAGAGACACTTCATCTTTTAAATTATGAATCATTATATCTTTTACATTTACAAATCCCCAACATAAAAAATGAAAAACCCTTATTCCTCAAACAGTCTAAATTTAGTCAGCTACTGTAGTACAGAAAGTGAGCAAATGCAGGTCTCCGTATGACTTACATTCACATAATTCGCATTAATGTAATCTTCATCTCCTTGCAATATTATCCTTGTGGCATCATCTGCACACACACAAAGAAAGAGGGAATAAAATTAGCAATTAAGATGCATGCTTCCCTTCTATTAAGTCAAAAAAATGAACTGCAAACACACAAACAGAACACAAACCAGAATAGATTACCTTTTGGAAAATAAAATGAACAATTATATGTCTTTGACTATATAATGAAATCTTTAATCAAGAAGTGCAATACAACAGTTTTATAAGCTATCATTTAAAGAATAAAGCAAAACAGGTAGAATCTGTACTTAATACTCACAAGGTAGAACATCTTTGTATCTGTTCTTGTCCATATTCTGAGGTACCTTTGCACATGTAACAGCCAACCCTGGTTTCTTTCTATAAAGTTGCTGCAAAACAGAATTAAAAACGGTAGGATTTTGAGGGATGTGCTTATGCTATACACACACACAAAATAGATTCACATAAAAAGACTGAAAAAAAATATCAAAAGTTATTTTCTTTAATCTTTTTCCTAATCTTTTTCACCTGAAAGAATTTCTGTTATTGCTAGCCCATCATCTCTAGAAGAATTTCCAGAATAACAAGAGGAAATGGAAGAGTCACTGATAAACTATTTCCCTTGAAAGGTTGCCTTTTTATAGAACTGTGGGCCAGAAGAAAAACAGTGGTTGTGGGTGGAAGAAGTGACCAATAAAAGACATTAGAAGAAAAAAATAGCTGCAGATTGATATTTTCTGGAAACAATTGTAACACAATAAAGTCAGACAAACTTTTATTCTCTGGACTAACATAACCACATTCAATACTGCAAGTACTTGAAAAAACAAAGCTTCTATGTATCACAATCTCTTAACATATGACTCCATTTCTTTTGGGCCAACCCCTATGTTACAAACTTTATCGGGAGTATATGTAGGCATACAAGTGTAAAGCCAAAATTTTAAGGTCAAAAGTGCATTGAGTGCATCCTACAAGACAACAAAAGATACAGAGGGGGAAAACCAACAACAACAACAAAATCAAGAAGTGTAAATATACATGAAAGAAATTTACAACCGAGTTATTACCTTGGCTGTGCCAGAATTTTATATACTTCACTGAACTATTTCCAAAGAGCTCATTATATCTTTATGTTTAATGAAAATTTAGAATATGGTTCCATACATAAAATTGAATGAAACAAATAGGAGGCTAAAATCCCCTACTTTGGTTGAGAGAAAAGGAACAACACATGAAAGTTTATCTGACTGAGATTTACCAAATCCTGACTCCGTATTACAGTTCACCACATTTTTCAACTTGAACAGTATAAATAAGCCATGTAAGAAGATAATTTGATAATATATGTAACTGAACAACTTCTATCAGTTATAACTCAAGTTCCATTTTACTGGACCCATGTTATGATTTCTGCGTTTTTTGGAAGACAAGAAAGAATAATTTAATGTTAAGTAACAATTCTGGAGCTTCATAATTGTTGCCTGGCAAAAAGTCATTTGCCATTGACAGACAATAAATTCTGCTTAAGTGGAGGAAAAACTTGACTATTCATAGTTTACTAGCTAATTATTTACTATTTTACTAATGTGAATGGAGAGTTTGAGATCCACCAAAGTTGATGAGGTGATGCTGCAGTTGTCTCTGTTTCTGAAGATGACTAAACAATGAACTCAAAGAAAGAAGGCCACTAAGTCGTCCCCTAGTTTATTAGATTTCAAAAAGGTTTGCGGGGTTTTTTTTGGTAACATCAGTAATATCCTTTTATAAACACTGTCAGGAAAAAACTCAAAGGATCAAGTACCTATGAAGATTATTACAGGAACTTCATGCAAAAATTAGTCAACAACTTTGACAAATGAGAAAGCATTGAAAGGCAAGGTCATCTCTTCTGAGTTACTGTTTCAATAGCCACTCATTGCTGCATTACAGCCAGTGCTGTGGATTTTGGAAAGCAGCTATGAACCATAGTCTATAGTTCGTTTAAAAAAAAAAAAAAAAAAAAAAAGGGGGGGGGGATTTTTAACTCCCAGAACTCTTGAAAACAAAGCAAACCTCATAAAAATTCATGAAATAAGCAACACCACAACTCTTCAGCCACCACCATTAAATCTTAAGGCATTTTGAAAAAAAAAAAATCAAAATTGGGGAAAATTGTATTGTTGTTCTACGAGTTTTCAGTATCAGAAAGGGTTGCTCCAGAACTCAACAATGTGAAATTTATAAATCATAATAATCAGGGTTTCTCTAAAGTTGCTATGAATGTTTGGTTCCACAACAAAAAAACAAGCACAAATATACACACTCTGTTCTCTCTTGCCATCAGAGAAGCAGCTAAATTATCTTTTGGAATTTCTTACACTAACACTGAAAGAACTAATTTAATAAACTATAAATACATTTTATTAATCAGTTTTCTATGACATTCCTTGCTAACATGTTGAAGAACATGACAAATATTAATTCATTAATCTATACAGCAGTTCTTCATAGTCTCATCCTATATACAGAGGAATCTCACCTATGAAGTAATCTGCCCAAGAAGTAACCACCAGTGTTTTAGATAGCCAGGGAGAAACACCACAGAACTGGACATTACAAATGACCTGCAAACGGAAATTAACATTCCAAAACTTTCATATCAACCTCTAAGATGATGAGGAATGGTCAAGTTGTACCTGTTATTCCATGAAAGAAGGCAACACATGAGACCTTGAAACCCTAACTTAAGGTAGGAAAGAAGTTTAGAAATGTCACTAAGCAGCATGGAAAAAGGAACAAAGTACAAGACTGACCTCTGTCAAAACACCACTATTCTACTCAAAATAATAATAAATATTAACTTAGTAAGTTTTCGGTACTTGAGCTAGAAACATGTTAATTTGAACATATTTATATCAGCAGATGATATTTTTATGTAAGACTGATCACTCATTCTTCCCTATCTTCAGAAGTGAAGGATGAAACTGATGGGCAAGGCACATTCTTGCTCTCTTGAGCGAAGACTGCATGTGATCAATGAGATTTCCAATTAATTAAGCCCTTACATTAGTTGCCGGTCACTGCTACTGGTTTATATTAATGGCATTTGATAGTTGAGTACTACCTACCTCAAATTGAATAAGGACAGTCCCACTTTCCAGCCCTCCTCTTAGCTGCTCCATAGACTCCTCCAGTGTATCACCACCATATTTCGAACAGATAGGAAGAAGAGATTCTGGGAGATCGTGGGAATCAGCTTCGTCTTCTGATTTAAGCTCTACAAACTGTTTAACTACTGAAATATGTATCAAAAATTAAAATCCGTTACATAAAGCATTAATGTGTTTGCAACACATATTCAAATATATCAGCTTGCAAGAACAACAAAGTTTGCAGACAAGGCCTCAGGAAAGCAAATACCTTTATATCTTTATATATTACATTACTGTAGAAACTACTAAGAGTAAAATGTCCTTATGACATTTCAGAAAATGAAACTCTTAAGGTGCTTATCTATGAACACAAAGAAATTGACTTCCAAGCACAAAGAGTTTTTTGCTGCTACCTTGTCTTATCGAATAAACTGCTTAACAGGCTAATTAATCACAACATCCACTATGGTAAAAAACAAATGAGTTTTGCCTAAAAAAGTTTAGAGCATAATTCATGGAACATCTCTATAAGATTATATAAGAGGCCTATATAACTTTGGACCCCCAATAGCAAAACGAACACCAACATACTTACATTGTACTCCCTTGCCATTAGAGCAGCAACTGAAATATCTTTTGCAATTTCTTATACTAACACTGAAGTAATTAACTTAATATTAACTATAAAACAAATTATTAGATTTTTATGACATTCCTTGCTAACATGTTAAATAACATGACAAATATTAACTAATCTGTACAGCTGTTCTGTCTCCATGAAAGCTACTGTATTACCAAATGTGTCCAGCTGTGGTTATTCTTTGCAATGATCAGAATGGCTCATACCTGCCAAACTTCAGAAAATGGGGAGCTGTTCATACTCATGCCTACACAAACGACTGTCATGGAGCCACAGGTTATTTTTAGCTAAGAGCAGACTTCTCTTATCTGCAAGTATGAGGGGGACTAGAAAAGTTAAGGGAAGACTGAATTCTGCATAGAGCCACTGGAAAGACCTATAAAAACAGGAGCAGGACTGTTGAGTGAAAACAAGACCAAGAGCCCACCTGTCCTCCTAGAAACACAAAAAAATTTAAATAAAGTAAATGCTACAATAGCACATATCATTTAGGCGGTTTTATTCCCTCCTGTGTCCCAATGAAGCAGAATTCCTTCAGATTTTTAAGTCTTATTGTAATCAGAAACTCTGTGCAAAGCCCTTCCATAATTTTGTGTGTTAAGATCTTACCATAGCTCTTAAGGAAAGCAACTAATAAAATAGAAGTTTCACATCACCTGAAAGCTCTCGGGATCTGCATGATTTTAAATATGGAGAAAGCAAAACCAAGGTGGATGGGTTCCCCATATTTTTAAATATACAGGCTTAAGACTGTGCGTGTTTCAGAGATTGGCTCCTGCTTGCTAGCAGCAATTTAGCAAGTAGCCAGCAGAGGTCAAGCTCAGTATTGTTATAAAACCCCTATCGACTTATTTTGACTTGGTTTGTTGTATAATTGTGCTGGGGAACAGCCCATGGTATCAGAAACCTGCAGTTGGGGATTTGTGAAATTATGCTATATTTACAAAAAAACCCTTACCAAAATGTTTTGGCTAGGGACTTTGTTGTCATAGATTTTTTGACTTAAAAATAAGAAGAAATTTTAACTTGATAGATTATTTGTTGCAGTGGTAAGAACCTGTATAGTTAAAACTATGTGTACTACTAATTCAAATGCAGGGAGATCTAATTTTGAACACAGACCTATTCCCAGTGCACTGAGAACATATTTATGTAAACAGAAGAGGGTATACCACCAAGTGTAAGAGCAACAGTCTCAAAAACATTAAAAGTGAATAAAATTAGCCCAGTTACCTTTCCGCCTGACCAAAAGTGCAAGCTCTCTTGTGTGAGATTCTCTGCTGGCTTTTATGAACATGACCACCTGATCATGCGTGTGCTCTGAGATATCTCGGCCATTAATTAATACTATCTGATCACCTTCATTCAGTTTTGGAATGCATTTATCAGCCTGTTTCAAGACCAAAGAAACACATTAATGTCATTGCATCCAGTCATGTAAGCAGGAACACATCAGGATATTAAGTTCATCATGTGAGCAAAGTCTTCAGAGTTCTCCTGACAAGGTTTCATCTTCTGTATCAGAACTTCTATCAAAGGATTCAGATCTAAAGCTGTCTTTCTTGCTTCAAAGCCTCTCAATGAAGATGAGAAACAGTTCAAACAGCATATTGATAGCTATAAAAAAAATTCATATTTATCAAACAGCCATCATCACGTTGCTTGTAAAGATTTAAATTTCAGACTCTAAACCTCAACAACCACTGGTTATAGACATTTGCAAATTAATTTCTGGAAAAAGTATTTTGGGCATGTAAGATAATACACTTCCGGTTTTGTGCAGTGAATACTGAAAAGTCCAAACATGATTTTGATTAACATAATTTAAATAGTGTGACATTCCTCAGGCATGTACTTTTTAAAATGTAAAGAAATCCATACATATTTCATATTTTTGTTATTTATCAGATTGTTGTTTGGTGGAATCTAATGATATCTACAAATAGAGAACATTCTTCCTCACTTCAGTCACTGAAAGTTTTAACAAGAAGATGCAGATAAATCCTCAACCTGTGATGCTCAAATACCCTGCATTTGTGAAAAATTCTTTTGTTATCTGTGCTGCAGAGAACACTAAAATGAGGTTTTCCCCATCTCAAATAAAAACCATTATGTTTTGTCTTGGATACAGCAATTTAGATTAATTGCTGAACCCTAGGGTTTGTTTGGCTTTTTTCTGCCACACTTCATAGTATGCTTAGCTCTAAATCCAGCGCAAAGCAATTCAAGCTATGGCCAGAATATGATGATGATGCTACAAAGATGATTAATGGACTAGAGCATCTCTTGTATGAGAAAAGGCTAAGAGAGCTGGGAGTGTTTAGCCTGGAGAAGAGAAGGCTCAGGGGGGGACCTTGTCAACGTATATAAATACTTGGTAAGTTTCAGAGAAGATGGAGTCAGGCGCTCTTCAGTGGCACCCAGCAACAGGAGAACAGAAAATGGGCACAAACTGAAACACAGGAGGCTCGGTCTGAACATCAGGAAACAGTTTTTTACTGTAAGAGTGACTGAGCACTGGAGTAGGTTACCCAGAGACACTGTGGAGTCTCCCACCTTGGAGTATCCAAAAGCCATCTAGACATGGTCCTGGGCACCTGGCTCTGGGTGACCCTTGAGCAGAGGGGGTCAGACAAGATGACCTTCAGGTCCCTCCCAACCTTCTGTGATTCTGTAACATGAATGTGCAGGATTCTACAAACTCTGAGTGTCAAGTAGCATAACAATTTTATTTTCACTGCTATTCTAATTTTTATTTTGTCTAGGAAGTCCAGCCACATAAAAGACTGATAGACTTACACATACACTCCATTTGATTTGTTACAAGACACAGGCCTTTACTGTTATTCACTATCCATAGTTGGTCCCTGTATTTCCTTAATGTCAGCACAAGTTTCTTCAACTTTATGCATCCAGTGTTAGAAGCTCTATCAAAAAAACATCACCAACCTTCCAAATGTGAAAAACATGTTCAAATTAGACCTGATCCTGTTTATGCCTTGCACTGATGGCTCCTAAAGTAAGTTTATCAGTGATGTACTGTATTACCAAGTGAAAAATAGGAAAAGATGGAAAAGTGGTAACGAAATAATCAACAAGAAAAATGCAGAATAAAAAAAAGTAAGGATACGAACAAAAAAATAAGTTGGGAGCCACCTGTATCAGAAAATAAAGTAAAAGGAAAACTTAAGACATGCATGAGTGCCACAAAACAGATAAAGGAGGAGAGAAAAGATGTATGCAAGAGGAAAAACTCCCGAGCAGAAAAGCAGATTAAAAATTTAAAAGGGAATAGTTTCCCCTAACTTTTTCCAAAGAAATAATGAAGATTGACAATGATTAATAAAGACAAATGTAAACAGCAAAAGAATGGGAATTATGAACAGCTACGGTGTTCTTCAACAGTGATTTAACTAGGTATTCACAGCTCCTGTCCCTTGACATATTTTGTATAATTTACAAGGCAAGACTGAGGAATGCAACTATGAATGATTGACTGATTTAATCACTGTGAAATATTATTGTTTGAGACATAAATTATTCTCTCTGAAATATAATTATTTGAAAAGGTAAGTGATATAAAGACCATATCATGTCAGTCTAGGAGAGCAAAAAAGTCAACAAGAACATGGAGGGAATGGTTTCTCATCTCCTATATTTGTCCATAATTTAGATTTCTTGGCTGGTTGTTGGCTATTATTCTTTATTACAGAAGGAGATTAATATCTTTGCTCAAAAAAACTTTGTTAATCATGTGGCATGTTAATGCCTCTGCTCTTTTACTTGAATCATCTGACTATATAAAATATATCTTGAAGGAGAATTAATTCCTTCTATGTAAGCATAATTCATAGATTTTTCACATACTGAGCTTTTCTAGACAATTAATTATGTCAAAGGCTTTCTGTTCTATTGACATACCCAATGTTTCATTTTATGCTAATCATCTTGTTATTGCTCCAAGAAGTATGAAAACTATTTTTCAATGAGAAGCTCTATTAAATAAAACCATAATGACTTTTTTAGCACCTTAGGACATTAATACCATTTGTGGAAAAAAAAAAAAAGTATAGGTCTTTAATTTAAAAAAAAACAAAACAAAACCAAAATGAGATGTGATAAATGGTTGTTCTTTAGATATAAAGCTCTCCCACAACAATTTTGGCTACTTTGTCCTCCAATCTTCCCAGTATACTAGATTGCCACTGTATTAGAGGGAGATTTTTAAAAAAGAACTTTAGGACATGCAAGGGAAAATACTGCCTTATTTTGGTGAGTAAATTTCCTTTCCCTTCTCCACAAAAAAATACAGATTTTTGTTGAAAATTGGAAGAAAGGGATCTACAAGCCTTAGAAATAATCTTAACAAATAATATTACCAAACAACACCCCTGAGGACAATTTAGAGTAATGAGTGAATCTAGAGCAAGTTAAAATAGTGGCAAATACAATAAAGGAAAGGATCACTGAGCTAAAATAACATGAAAATGTATTCCACAGACTGCTTAACTTGAACTTTCAAATATCAGCTATTTTTTTTTCATAAAACAGACAAAAACAGGTGAAGTTTAGTTTATGGAAAACAATGTAATCAATGTTAATACTGCTATGCTCTAAAAATAAGTTATTTTTTCCTTCTTGCTGTAGCATGATTTCTGTAACACTGCTGTTGAGTATATTGTATTGGATAATTGTTTCCAATTTATTTCCTGACTCTTAGAACTTGCTTGCTTGGTGGCATTAGGCTAGAGAGCTTATTGGCCACTTGCATCTATGCCTACGCCACTAACTGGAGACACTTAAATGAAGTGTGTAAGTTAGGAGCCCAGTCCTTTTCCAATTCAAGAGAAAAAAAAACACAGATCAATACTTTCCAGAAGACAATCTGAATCTTTTAAGAGAAATCACTGCCTCTGGAGAAGCATCTTTCATTCTCTAATTGTGGAATAAGCCTGTTTGACCTACATTAACTTCAGTATCATGAATCACCCTTGAGAAGTCTGCTAGGTTGACTACGAAACATTTTAAGGACTGCTTTATTTTCACTTTGTGGATTTAAGTTATAGTTTCCTACTACTTTATTATTCAAATAATTACTGTAGTTCATAAAGGAGTGCTATGCACTAAGTCAAGCCACAAATCATAAATGTGACAGAAAAACAACTTCTCAATCTGTTTTAGCTTGATTTACATCATGACATTTAGATACCAGTCCTGTGACTGTTTACCAAATTTCAAAAGTGTCTAAGACGTAGAGTACACTGGATTTTTAGGATTAAGTCGGCAATATTCCTACCAAGTTTGCACTGAAATTATTTTATGAGAGTTGAGAAATACACTTTGGAAGAAGGTGAGTGAAAAAAATTTGAGATAACATATGTCCTTACAAATTTATGTCCTAATTATTTAGAAAAAAGTTATCCAGGGGTTAAATTACTATTATTATTTCACAATTCAACAGAAGAATTGGATGTCTGTACTGATTCAGAGGGATGTTCCACCTAGTGCATAAATATTTCCATAAGCAAAAATCCATGGCAGAATAAGAACAGAGCAAGCATTTTGCACCCCCTCTCTCCTGCAAAGCACTCTCCTATTCTATAAATGGTTTTAGCCCTAAGGATTTCCTCAGCCTACTATGGTTTGTCTATTCAGTAACTGTCAGCAGGTTTTTTTCCCATGTGTCCTCTCCTGATCACCTACAAAATTCTTATAACCACAGCATCTTCTGCCAAGAAGTTTCACAGGTCTATCTTATACACGAAGAACTACTTCACTAAGCATGAAGAACCTGACTTTCACTAACTTAATTTGGTATCCCATAGTTCTTCTGCTGGAATTCCCTGCTCACAGTGCTCCTCATCTTATAGATCCCTACTACATATCCCTGAAACTAGTTCTTTTTTCTAGGCTGCAGGGGCCAGACTACTCACTTTAATGAACACTGTTCCATATCTTCAGTCATCGCTTTTGCCCCTCATCAAACATTTCCCAGTTCAAGATGCACTTTTTGAGATGACAGAGGGAAACAAACATGTTTTCTACTGGTATCTTGTTTGTCTAACACTTGCAGATCTTTCCATCTGTGGTTTAAGAAGCCACTGGTCAAATCACTTTCTAAAGAGAACAGCTCAGCTACTATCTCGTACTGGTTATGGGTGTTCAAATTTCTGTGTGTTCAGACCTCTGAGTGGTGGAGAGAGTAATAAAGGAAGGGATTAAAAGTATTAAGAATTTACTTACAGGTGATCCTGGAGTTATTCTTGACACCACTAATGGCATTTTTTGATCTACACCACCCTAGAGAGACACCAAATTAATAACAGCATATTATTAAGTGTAAATAGCATTTTAAAAAAGAAGTAATCACTTATTTTTGGTTTTCTATAAACTTCACACTCTGTCATTGCAACCAGAGTTGGTGAAATTGAATTTCCGTCAGTAAATGGGGGGAGGGTATGATCTAACCTTTAAATCTACCAATTTTCAGTACACTAGATTCAGTGTCTTTGCTTGGTCATATATTTTAACAGGCAATAAACAGACTGAATACAGCATTTATTTTAACCCTACTCTTTAAGCAAGCCTAATTCAACATATGAACTTGCAAGGTGGACGGTGTTCTTAGATGTTGTAAAGAAACTCTAAGAGATCAGGTATAATGAAAGTTCCAGACAACTGTAATCTCTTATTCTCTTCAATCTTCTATCACTGCCCCACCAAGGTGAAAATATCAAACTCTGCCCTGATTTTGACATCATGGCTACTTTACTCTATCTGCTTAAATAGAATTTCAGTAAGGGGATGCCAAAAATTTAAAATAGTCAATTATCAATAGGAATTTCTGTTTTCTTAACAAATTAATTTTCACCTTTCCAATATGATTTTTTAACGGATATAGTCAATTGGCTAGCAGAAACTATTTCACTTGTTTTATAATACAGAGGTCCAATTTTCCAAAAATTGATGTCTTAAATTAGGCTCCCAAATTCATATCTAAGCAGCCAAATAGGCAGTCTGCTTTGGAAATGTGCCATGCCCATAGTATATGAAACTAAAATCCACAGAACTAGTGGAAGCTTATTTCTGTAAATGTTACTTTAGCATTTAAGGATTTGGCTGCCACTTCTAAAAACTCTGGGTCCATAAGCAATTCCTGTAGGACATACTGCTGTCTCCAAAGCATTACATTAAAAGTAAAAAAATAATCATGAAGTCAACGCATATCTCTATCAAGCATTTAAAAGTAATTTAAAAATTGCTGGTTTACCTTTAGATTAAATCCAAACTTCCCGTCTTCATCTGGTATGATACGCACCAGAAGTAAATCTCCCTCAATTAAGTCATTCTGTAATATATATATATATATATATATATATGTAAAAGACAAACCAAAACTTTTCTAACTTTTAAAAGAAAACAGCAGCAAATTAGAGAATACTGCATCCTAATTCAGATGTGTTGAATAATTATGTAAATCCACCTTTAAAATAGGAAGCAGCTAAGGTTACAGAATAGATTCATGATTGTGAGCTTTTAAATCGTAAAAATAGCAACATACATAACAGCAAATACATTCTCTACTTGCTCAGTCCTAACACTGTTACTATTATCTTACCTCTCTCAATTGATAGCACCTAATAAAATTTTCAAGATGTTGTCTTTACTAAAGCTGACTTAAAAGGAAAAAATGTTAGGTGCAACATATTTGAATCAATTCTACTCATAGGATTATTAAGGGACTACTTTTCCCCCAGTTTTTCTCCTGTAAATGGGTGTATTGGTATCTTCTGCAAGAGATGCACAAGCCAGAAGGATTAGAAGTTGGCAGCAGCTACTGGACAGGAAGGTTAGGAGGCGGCTCAGCACCACTCTGGAACAGGCTGGAGAAAGGGGAGGAATGATCCACTACCATAATGCTAGCAGGGGAGCAGCTGCTTTCTAGTCAGCACAGAATTCATTGGATAATTTTTAGCCATCCTGAAGAAGAGACGCCCGGTATAAAGCAGAGTTGTGCCTGCTATCAAGAAATAATAGCAACTTGAATTATCTGATCCTTCCCCTTAGAGGAAATAATATTTAATCATGTAAGAATTCCTATTCCACTATAAAGTTTCCCTGCAGATGCTTCTGGAAACCTGGACACTATGGAAATCAATGCAGTTGGCAGGCTTGTCTAACATACCATGTACACAACCTTGGATAAATTTGAGTAGACAACAAGATTTATTCTTATTACTGCACAAAATATATGTTCATCCTGAACTATAACCAGGTTTTGTGCATTCTAATCTATAGCTCAAAGCTACATTCTGTACTAGTTTTGAATTTAAAAGCATGCAATTGAACATACTGAACATACCTTATCACAGTAGTACTGACTGGAATCTTCTGTTGAGCTACTTTTTGTAACATTGTCGTATGTTTCTAAGAAGTGTTTATCCACCCCTTCTAAAGGGTAAGAGCCAGAAATGTTACCAACTCCATTGGGAGACTGAGTCAAGGCTTTAGGTGAGATACGGGTCAGAGAACTCCGAGTCGGACTGTTTCCCAGTACATTCCTTCATTTAAAAAGTATAAATAAATATTAAAAAGGTATGTTTATCCAGATACTTAAATAATAAAGCATACAAATATACTGCTTATTAAAAGAGTGAGCCAACTTTATACTTAGATTTAACACTACTTGAGGTGCAGGGTAACAGGACTGGAGTATGATCTAAGCCTATCATTTGGTCAGCGGACATCCAGAATAATGGACAAAACAAAAACAGAGTAGCAAAAGCATTTTTAGCAAAACATTTGGATGTTAGCTATGAAAGGCACTGTTGCAATGGTACAGGAAATCACAGTAACATGAAAAGAGCTGAACCCCAGGGAAAAGGCACATCAGTTGCCAATCCTACCCATGAAAACCTTTTGCTATGATTCCACTCTCATTATTGCAAAGAACTTTGTTTTCATTCCTTCCTCTTGTGAGTGCCATCTTAACCTTATCCCTCTGGGAGAAGGTGGTTTGCAGAAAAGCCATGCTAAATTGTCAGAGAAACAGGAAATGAAGCGACAATGAAAAGCGTCATTACAGTCAATATAGTCTGTCACTGAAGTAGTAGAACCATGTAGAAGGACCCAGAATTAAACTGGGGTGCAAACCTGGCTTAGTGATTCAAGAACCCTAAAACTCAAGGATAACGAAAGTCAGTAATTAAATACCTCAAATCTTAGAATTAGCCAAGTTGCCTGGTGGTGCTCCAGGACTTTCCAAACATTCATTTAGCTATATGTGCTCTTATGAAAAGAATGAAATGCAGACCACTAATTAAACTAAAACCCTTCTTTAATTGGACCAAACTCACAGGTACCATGCAAACTAACTGCTTTGTCTTTATAAATAATACACAATACTCTGAAAATCTCTGTCCTGAGGAAAGCTCAGGTATAATTCAGGTGCAGTTTCCTATACAGTGCTGTGTATGGCAGAAACTGAGTCCTAGCTACTTGTATTATTCCACTGTAGACAGACTTCACTTACACGATGATCTGTCATGCTCAGTGGCAGTACATTTTGCAAGAACACTGCACTGCAGTGAAGCATATCTGATCCTTGGAAGTACACATGCTGTTAGTTATTACAGTTTATCCCTAAAAGCAGGCTTTTAACAGGCAGCGCTTGCATCGCAGCAAACTTTAGCAATGCAAACACTTGAAGTTTTCCACAAGACGAGGAGCAACAAATGTAAATGTTCTGAAAGGTGCCATCAAACAGATGTATTGTTGCTATAATATTTCTGATGTTCAGTTGTAGTATGTGTACTTGGCAATGGGGATGAAGTGCTTTATGCAACCTTTGCAGAATTTTCAGTTATAGTGTTTGGAAGATATTATTCACTTATCACTCTCAATAATTTCATAATACTTTCAAGTAGTGAACTATAATGGTGCTTAAAGGAATTATACTGTCAAAACTGTGGTTTTATCTGATAGTTTCTAGGACTTTTCATAATTTCTGTGAGGTTACTGTTAAGAAAGGAGGAACACTGTGTATGTAAATACACCCTAGTAAGTTTTTCAGAACAGTCATTTAAAAAAAAAAAAAAATCACTTACAAATTGAGATTACAGATCATAATGATTTGTCAGTGTAGAAAAAAAATTAACAATACCAGAAAAATATAACAGATAAGTTCAGAGAATGCCTCCTTCCACTATATAGAGAGTTATCACAAACTTATCAGTGGCTTTTTGCATCATTAAACGTTTACTACAGTTTTTAACCAACTTTTATGTTAACAGTGATTAGGAGCGTATTAGCACTTAAGACTTTCCACGTTGTGATCCAAAATCTTAGGGTTTTTTCCCCCACAAATCTTTACAATCTTCATTGCTTTATATATTTATTTGTGTCTTGTAATCATACAAGACCACTACACTTTGAAAAAAAACAGTTCAACTTTTGTATTTTATTACATAACTTAAAGCTAGAGATTCCGTAGTAGAAAGTTTAAGAAAAACTCACTTTGGTGATTCTTGTTCGGATGACCTGTTAAAAAAAAAGAATCCAAACAAACCAGTAAATGAATTTATATTAAATTTTCAGGAAAACAAGAACTAAACTCTAAATTAAAAAAAAATAAAGCCTGCGTAAAAGCTGAAAGGTGTGCTTACAGTAACCTAAAGAATACTTAATCCTATGCTGAAAGTTTGAATGAGACAATTACAGAATATACGAAACAGTCCACAAAAATCCCAAGGCAGCTCTAACTGCTCACTTCCAGTTTTGGCACAAGCCCAACTACAGACAACACACATTTGCTACCGCAACTTAAACTATGTAGAAGTTTACAGAGGCAATTATTTAGCAAGACACACTACATCATTTAAGAAAGTTTTAGATGTGGATCACAATGACTGCAGACTTCACTGACTGCATTTTGTAACATGTCAAACATGTCAAAATCTTTATGTATTGGTAACAAGAAACTAGCATAGGTGGCTTCAGAAGCATGAAGTTTCTAACATTTATTCTCATAATGTCGAATAAAACACATGTTGACAGAGAACTTTAAGACAAAGCATAACAAAAGCAGAAGCGGTTACACAGATGAGGATAATCTAGCACAGAAAATAAAACAAAATTTGCTGTACAGAGCATTTCTCAAGGCATTCAGTTAGCTTCATCAGAAATCACCTGAAACAGTAAGCTAAACTATATTACACTAATTAAAGTAACAGCTGCAATACTAAGATAAATTTGAAAGTAAAAGTTACCAAAAAGGTACTTGCAAAGCAAAGTAAGTTTAAGGCAGATGAGACAGCTTTACAAATTCAATTAAGTAGTGACCAAAAAAACCTGGGGTGATATAAGTCCATCCTGGAAAAATACAAATATGAAGTAGTTTGAAGGTAGAGGTGTTGAATTGTCAAGTTATACAAGGCAATTCACAGTATACAATTAAATTTTCAAATGTTGTTCTCTAAAACAACCTTAATACTAAGAATTATGTACTACATTTTATCAAAACTACAGTAAAAGGAGCAGCATTATCAGTCTAGTTAAATTTCCTTATATGTATTCTACAATATGAAAAATTTTTCCTTGAGAAGCAGAGATAGTGAAGCTTGATTCCCTAAGAATTTGTGGATGTTTGGGTTGTGTGTACTTTAAGGCACTAAACTTCTTCCAATTTTACTGCAGTCATGCCCCCCTTCTGATTCCACTGACATTCACCCCCACTCTCCCACTCAACCTCTAATTCTCCTTGTTAGCAATCCACATAGTATTTCTACCCCCTAAGTGGCAGCAGTGCACAACATGCACTTGCTGCCTGACCAACCCACACCTAAATGGAACAGACAACTACTGAACTCATACTATAATTGCTCAGTGAGGAGAGAATGTCAGTTTATTTTTTTTCTGCCTAGTCACTGGCTTTCACTAATCTTGTAGAAAATTTTGCATCTTTGAAACTTGACTCCTACATTCGATTTGACTGCAATCGTCCAAATGTTCTCAAGTGGGAACAGAGGCAGATGGGCAGTGCAATGACATAAGCCTTATTTCCTTAGGAAGTCATGCTAAAAATAAAGAAACACTAAATTTATTTTTGTTTAAGCTAATTGATTTCCTTGTGAGGCAAAGAACAACAAAATTGTACATCTTTTCTGTTTTACCACAGTAGAGCTATAGCTTTATTACCAAATGCTGTGTAGAATTCAAGTTGCCATAAGTTAACCCTTTCAAAAGTCTTAACGAAAAATTTACACACACAGAATTCTGATACAAACTGATGCAATGTCTTTAAAATATTATCTTCCCTCTTTCTTCCCAATGTGAGGTATTTTGAGACAGAAAAAACACAACTTGAGCTTCCATTTATATAATGTGTATAAACATACAGCAAATTTTTCATCATCTGTTATACGTTTTGAGACTTAAATGTGGGATATAAATTCTTCATAATATTTGCTGAAGATTTATCTGTTGAATTATTGCACTTTAATTCAAACACATCAGCTCTGAAAAGTTACTGAATCATTCTGTAACCTTTTAAAGTGGAAAAAGGTAACCAAAAATTTGACCTACATAGAAACCAAATTCAAGGCTCAAAAGAATTCATCAGGGACAATGTAGCTGTGTCCTCTTAAAGTCCTTGGCAGCTCAGCATGCTAGAGCTGCAGAATTTTGCTCTGCAACTCAGTTAAACAGTGTTTCCAGCATTTATTTACTCACCAGCATGATAAAGTACCTTAAACATAAATAACCAGATGACCTATATTCCTCATTTCACAACATATGACATGCACCATATTTTAAGTCAATAAAAGACAACACTCACCAGACCAGCCATTCAACTTTTTCATCAAGAAAGAGAGCCCTTCCTTGTAAGGAGATTAAGCTTTCCATTGGTGCAGCTAACAAGCAAACACTTTAAAACTGTAGGTAATTTCTCTTCCTTACTCTGCAATATAACTAAAATGATGTCATTTCAATCTTTCACTCACTATGGATTGCTCTGTTGATGATCATCTTCATAACAAAACTCTTTACGTTAAAAAGTCTAACTCTCCTGTCAGGAGGACAGAAAGGAAAGGTCTTAAGGAAAGACCCCTCCTCCCCATTTTGGTGTGCCCTACCAGGGAATTCTGCTATTCTGAGAACTGATGATAAACTACAGTGGAGTAAACCCCAAGAGAAAAGGGACAACTGAAACAATAGCACTGTAGCAAAACTCCCTCTTCACAAACAACTGAAGGAAACATCTGTAGGTTTTGCCCTTGCGCTGTTCTTGAAGTTCTTAAAGCTTCTTTTATTTTAACACCTGCAGGGCTGGGGAGACAGTGTGCCAGCACTTCCATTATCACCACTTTTTGAGAACTCACCATTAAAACTGGGATTATTATTCATACCCCAAATAAGTGGAAGATATTTGCAGCAACACCTTTTTTTTTCTGCCTTTTGGAGAATTTATATACAGATTATTCAGCATTTCTATGAACAGAATGACTATGTAAGAAGGCCATGTAGATGCTTTGTGTTGCACATTTAATCTTACCATTACAGAAAAACTTGAGGGCTTCATGGTGTACACAAGTTTTCCAGTGATTTTCTACAATTCCAAACACTCACATTTGTAAGCTGCTGCCATCACCCATAAAAGGATACTTTCAGTTACTCTTCATTGCCTCTGCTGACCATATTCCAAGTTTACTGACTTTCCATGAAAATTTCATGTACTCTGCAACTGCTTGGCTTGCTGCAAAATTTGCCTTGTCATAGATTTGCAATTCAACTTTGCGACTTTCTTTTTGGATGTGAAATGATTGGGTTTTTTTGAACTGGCAAGAAAATGTAGTACATTTTAATAAGGATATATATCTAAAAAGTAATGTTTGTATGTAAGCAAAATATATACATGTACCTTTTTCATGTATATTTGAGTGGAAGAGCACAGTAAAACTCGGTCTATCAGTAACAGTCTTAAAACCCTAATTTAAAACTAATGGAAATGTTCTCAGATCCACTAACTAGTATTAGAAATACATCTTCCTTGAGAAAGACTGAAGTACACAGACAAGCACAAGCAGATTTTGTAAGAACAAGGAGCTGATTACATCTGTATATGAGAGGATGTACAGGATAAATACTTAGTTTAATATGTTTTATTATGTTATTTGCAATTTTCTACTAAGAAAGTAGTTACTAGGACTTGGCTGGATATCTCTGAAGTGTTCTTTCATCAACAGTAATGCTTTAAAAATTTTGTTGACAAAAGGAATTATATTTTAGTCAAAATAATGATGTGTTCCCATAGTACATTCTCCAAAGCTCCCTATGCAGCTACAGTTTATTGTATATCAAAATGGTAAGTTGAAAGAATTGAACAAATACAGCATACGTTCAGGAAATCTATTTTCAGTGCAATACCTTCACCAGATGATGCATCATGCTTATACCAGGAGTGCATATGCACTTCCAGAAATTCATAGCACAGTGCAAGTGAATTTCCTTTTTGTATACTAGTTCATCATTTCACTTCCTTCCCCTCCAACTCTGGGACTGTACACCTTATGCAATCTGTATCACCAGAGAACTTTAGAATAGAAGTTAAAGAGGTTTACAGCTTTGTGAGTATGTTTAAGAGAAAAGTTTTGCAGGAATATGTTGCATTTATAACAAGTAGAATTGTAGACCTGAAGTAATTTATGTTGGAAGAGATCTTGAGAGATCACCTAAACTCTTGTTCAAGGAACAGCCACCATCAAAGCTGGATGAGAGTGTTCAGAGTCTTGTCATACTGAGTTCTGAGGTTCTCCAAGGATGAAAATACCTCCACCTTTCTGTCAATGTGTACAACGGGTTAACTAATGTCAGTGTGATTTCTTTTCCCATCACCTTTTGAGCATTTCCTTTGCTGTAACTTGTGTCCATTGGCTCACATGTTTTTGCTGTGCACCTCGAAGAAGAGTTGGCTCCATATTCTTGATAACCCTCTTCTGGCAGAGTAAGGCAACAGTGTGACACAACACCTTCTCACCCCCACCCCAGCCTTCTGGTTCTCTCTCATACATCATACACTCACATCTATGAATAACTAGACAGATTTATCTCACCAATCAATGTATGACTCTACATATAAGATTTATAATGCCTCATCTGTCAGTAAGTTTTTCTTACTGACTGATACTATATAACCTTATCACTTAGAAAAGTGTTTTACAATAATCTCCTTTCTGGTTAGACAGAAAATTTCACAGCTAATCTTTTCTGTTAGGCCACAGACTCTACTCTAAAAAACTACCAAAACACTTGTTCCTACGCAGTCTGCTGTTCCAAACCAAACAGATATCTTTAGTTTATTTAATTATGGAGTGAACAAGAGACACTGAATACAGTTTAAGTAGCAAGACCCTCCACACCGCTTGATCAGGTTACTTTTCCTAGCCAATAATCCAGTTACTTTTTCTCTTAAGACAGTACTTTATATACATAAATTTATATATTCTTATTAACGAGTACCCTTTCCACTCAGAAAATTGTGT